CTTGCCTAGCCGGGTGACATCAACAATTGGAGTATCAGTTGTTGACTTGACAAGAAGCTGTAAGTCCTTATTGGAAATAGCGACATCAATGTCGTAGATCACGCCGGTTACTACATCACATCCCAAGGGAACATGAGAGCGCACCGGGTTGCCGTCCAAGTCAGTTACACTGCGCAGAACGCCCAACGCACTTGCGTGCAAAACGTCCACAGCCAGTATATTCTTTCTGGCGTTCACTCTTATGTCCGTGATCTCATTTGGCACGAGCGTTTCCAGAGACCTCGACACAGACTGTCTGTGAAGGTGTTTCATGCTGACGGTAGGAAGTGCAGGCAGAAACAGGATGGTAAAAGCGTTCGATTTTGGCGCTTCACTTACAGTTTGAATAGTTGAGGATGAAGATGTCCTCATGTTCCTTCTCTTCGCCTTGCGGCTCAGCACAGGTTGGAAACCGTCATCTGAGAAGTCCTCAGTGCTGAGATAGTAAGCATGAGTATCTTCACTGTCGCTGTCGCTGGCTTGTCCCATCCGCTTCCTGGAGGCGGTCGCCGCTGACGCCGCTGGTGCCGGCAGGCGCCCGGGGTGGTCTACTTCCATCCCCTCCAAGGGAGCAGCGGAAACTGATCAACAGACTTAAATTACAACTAATGATCAGTAAGTCAGTCAAGAAAGTTTATACGGTTCCTAATGAACTACAGAGTCGTAGTTGTGGGCCGCACCCACTTTGGGGCTGGAAGACGTGGTCCTCTGCCGCTCGTGCAACCTTTGAAAAGCCCTTAGTTCATGAAGATCGCCATTTTTTAGAGTTTCCTCCCAGCTCTCTCGTTTATTAAAATAGCTTTTTTGTAACGCTGAACATTGCCACACAATGTGCGCTAACGAGCAATGCTCTTGATGGCACTTAGGGCAGCGTGGATCGATGTCCGGAGTAAAGCGACTGAACCTTCTTCTAAACGGGAAAGATCCAGTTTGTAACATTCTCAGAGTGAAAGACGGAGGTTAGGTCCGCTTTTTAGGAGAGAGCGGGAATTTCCAGCGCCCAAGCTGACAGTGTTTCACTAATTCATTAAAAGAAAGTATAGGGATCGGAGTTATGCTCCCAACCTGGATTGTCTAGCGTATCGGGGCCATCGCGGAACGTCAGACCTCGCGCTTGGTCATTCGGGTTGGGTTTGCTGGGATGCAAATTGATTCCCATGTGCGCTGGAAACCATGCGATTGTGTGAAAGGCATCAGATGATCTTTGCTTGATTATAACCACCGCCTATCTTATTTGCAAGATTAGATCAGATAGAAAGGCCTCGATTCATTACTTTTTTTTTCGTATTGAGGAACTGTAACTCAGTGCGTGAGCTTTTATGAATGTTCTCTTTGTATAGTTGTATTCGTGTTCATTACTTTGTGACGGCTACTATTATGCAAGAAAGGAGGAGTAACCGGCGTCACACATTCTCATAAACCTCTCCTGATATACAACATTATAAAATCTGGCACGTCTCGCGCCCTGGGACGATCGGTGCGAAACAGCCGGCAAGGAGCGGCATACATGTAAGTCATGGTGCACATGACATGCATTTCATTATATTCATGTTACCACCTGTCATATATGTTCGCCGTGCAGTGGTCTCACACAACACCAATTTTGGTGCATATATATAAAACGAGTGAAACGCTCTAGAGCGCACTGTGAGCTGGCTGGGTATACATCACATGCGAGCCGTTATTTTATTATTACAACTTGTCATATGTGTTCGTCATGCAGTCATGTCGTCAAACTCTAATTTTTCTGTTATCAGGCGAGCGAACTTTCAACGAGTTCTCCATGAGCATTGCACGTAAGTGATGGCGAACATGACGTGCACGCGATTATTTTCATGTTACCACCTGTCATACATGTTCGTCATAAAGCCATGTCTCGCACTACCAATTTTTGTGTATATGAAGTGGCTGCAAAGACCACAAGCTTACCATGAGCGTCGCTTGTAATGCATGACATGCATGTTATGGTTTTCATGTTACCACCTGTCATACAGTAAAGTAACGGAATACAGGTTTTGTTGCAAAGCCATTAAATTAAATAGCGACGAGCTTCCCGAGAGCATGACACGTAAATCATGTATTACATTATATGCGTGTCATGGTTTGCACCTTAAATTTTTTGTCGTACACTCTGTGAACAGCCCACAAATTTTAGTACAAGTTGATGAAACGGCTGCAAAAGCGCCAAGACCATGGTAACTAAATTATGCCATTTATGGCTTGCATGTGATGATTTTCATGATTTGAGCTGTCATTTTGTTTGTCATAGAATTGTGTTATGCCTGGCCAATTTTGGTATACATCCTATTAACCAAACGGCTATGAGAGCCCGAAGTCGTAGGCGGCTAGGTACATAGATACGCTCAAATTCGCCCAAGTTCGCTAAGAAAGCTTTACGTGAAAAAAAGTCAATGGGCAGAGAAAGTGCTCAGTTAGTTGAACAGGAGCAGCGTTGAATCGCACAAGAAAAAAAAAACTATGAAGGATTGCTATCAGCAAGTATGCGGCCGGCAGTATTAAGAATACGGCGCAAAGCGCGTTAATCACAATGTCAAAAAGGCACCATGGAGAAGATATGTTGGATATCAGAAGTGAAAGAAAAATAGCTATGGGTAACATAGGGGTATCAGCTAGGGGGGGGGGGGAGGCAAGGGGGGCGCGAGCTTTCCCAATTTCTACAGTGGTAACTCTTGGCTGCACGCTGAGGAAACCAACAAGTAAGGCACAGTTTTCCATCACAACAGTAATACCTCAATTATGTTTTTGCGGTAGAATGAAATTGTTACGAGGCTATGTTACAAGCTAGTAAAGTTTTGCTGACATTGCCGCTGAATATATATATATATATATATATATATATATATATATATATATATATATATATATATATATATATATATATATATATATATATATATATATATATATATATATATTCAGGTCGATGAGTGAGGTAGGTGTCAGCCCCCCCCCCCTCCCACTCGTGAAAGAGTTGGTACGCCACTGATGGGTAACTACCGATAGTGAAAGACATAATCAGACATAATCATAAGGAAAGCACTTCCTGTTAATAGGCACGGAAACGCTATTCAGCTCGCTCGCAAACAGGTAAGGGAACGTCAACCTGTCCGAACTGTATCTCTCTCTCCTAAATCCTGTTCATTCAGCTCGTTTTTAAATTTAAACAGTCGTTTGAATGCAGCAGTTAGGCCATAGATAGCTAAGCTTGTCGACGTTTGCAGAGCACCCACGCATAATGCGGCAGTGTAGCTAAACACCCTGCACGACCGACTCCTGGTGCACCCAAGGCCTTCCACATATGGTACTGTAGTGTTACCTGTCGGCCGCTATTTGAGCTAGGCGAAACAGCGCATGGCCTTTGAGATGGCAAACGCACGTTTTCATCTTCGAGGCTTTGTAAGGCGCCTTATTCAAACAACGGCAGGGGCGCGGAGAGCCGAAGGCCGTCTGATCACTCCAGGCTAGCCTGGCTGTCATATATGTATCGCCATTATTGGCGCCAACATTAAACATCATATTGGTGTATGTGAGTATTACTGAATTCGGGAATTACGCCATAGAAAGAAAATAAAGTGGTTCACGGATGTACAGCTTCAAGTGGCAAAGCATAGCGATTACAGCATTCAGGCGGCAAGTTAATGGAAGACCCAAGTCCTATGACGGAAAGAGTGATTTATTTTTTTTCTTTGCTTTCGTTCATCCCAAATCACGTTGACTATAGGGTGGCTGTTTGCGCTTGTTCGTTTGGCACGATACAGGGCGAAAGCCCATAAGACGATGACAGAGAAGTGTCCACTCTGTATCCTGATCACGTGGAAGATAGATAGATAGATAGATAGATAGATAGATAGATAGATAGATAGATAGATAGATAGATAGATAGATAGATAGATAGATAGATAGATAGATATCTTAAAATAATGATATCAGAGATTTTAACCGGTTTTGTCGCCGGGCTTGATACTCCATTGTCGCATGATGAACGCGAGTGCTATGGCTAACATCGCCGGTTAATCGGGACTTATTTTCGGTGAGAAGTCACATTACCCGTGTCAGAATGCGGGTGTGGAAGAGTCAAAGCAAGACTGTGTCTTCAGAAGATTTTAATATTGACATGAACTGATAGGGTATCAAGTGAGGCACGCTGTAATGAGGAGTGTCGTCATTTTAAAGCTGCTCTATTATTGGAGAATTCATGCACGGTCTCCCGAGTAAACACAGTGGCTTTTTGCTGCACGTAATAATAATGACTTTTGCGGTATCACGTCCCAATACCACGATATGTTTATGAGGGACGCCTTCGTGGCGGGGTCCGGAAATTTGGGTTATGTGGTGTTCTTTAACGTTCAACTAAAGATAAGTAAACGAGCCTGTGTAGCATTCGCTACCATCAAAATGCGGTTGCGATTCAAACGCGCGCCTTCAGAGTCAGCAGGGTTTTTAAATTTTTTAATTATTTTTGAATCACCATGAGTAGAGTATCACGACCACTTATAGATAGATCACCATGGCGGGCCCGCCCTTTACAGCAGGCAACTTATTCTTACACCATGCTGCAGGCATAGGCCAATGTCGTCCGTGGTTCCAATACACTGCCTCCTCTGCTCGTTGAAACCCTTCAATATCGGACGGCCTTCGCGGCGTGGATGTTTTTTCTTTTTTTTTTTTTCTCGTTTTCGTGGCCGACTGGAGCTCCGGCTCGTGTCGTTGCAGCTCATCGCGGGTTTTAAGCACCGCCGCTGCGCGCCATGCGGCGCCCGCTCGTCGCAAAACAGCGGCTCTCTCGGCGCGCGAGGTCCGCCAATTCTTTTTTTCATTATTGTGTCCCGGGCGCGCGCACCAAATAGCGTCGTTATGCCTTCACCCGCAGCTTGCCACGGCGGCAAGTACCGGCTCGGCTGACGTTGAGCGTGGCAAGCACGCTGATTGGGCCGCCGTTCATGCTGTCCGGCGACAGATTCGCGTACTTTGTGTGCCCAGACTGCAGTGCCAAGTTTACAACGCTGTCGCACTTGCAGGCGCACTGGCTGCGCGAACACCATCGGTGTCAACAGCAGCAGACGACGCAGCTGCTCCTCGCGACTTCGGCGCCGGCGGAACAGGGCGACTACGCTCATGTGAGTGTGTTGCGCCTTAGTTCGCGCACATTTTGATGCTCTCGAATCGAACGAGAGTGTTTGTTTTCTAGTCTCGTCTTAACGTTGACAGTGACGTCACGATACCGAACATCTAAGCGATGAGGCTCGCCGCGACACGCACGACTGACCTCGCGAGCCGGAAATTGCCGATATGCATTTGTCGATATGCATTTATCGCTTCAGATAGGCAATCTATATATACCATGCAAGAAAACTCCGTGAAATACAAAAGAAACTGAAGCTTTATATTTAGATATATATGAAAAAAAAAAGCGTTCATGTGATTTATTTAAACTTAATAATAATATTTCAACAAATAACAATATTTTACGAAACAGCGATCTAAATAAATGTAATGCATGGCAGCAAATAAAGGATAGGCTACAAGGTCTCCTCTGCCTCATTTATTTATTTAGTCCTTTCTTTCTTTTATATTTTGGCTAACAGATATTAGGGTAACTGATTAAATATACCGAAAGTCCTCATATCTATTCTATATGAATTTATTATATCAAAGTATCGCGCTATTCATCTCTGATTTCTGACGGCGACCAAATCGTGTGAGTTAGGGCGCGTACTGTTGGGAGTAAACTTAGAGTGCAAAGCTTATTTTATTTCATGTTACAACCTTTTATTTGGTGTTTCGTAATGAACTAATTTGAATTCAGATCGGTATTAAGTGTTTTAAGATGAAAAACGTATCCTGCCGTCATCCTCTATTCATTCAACATGAACCCCGAATGCTTCTCCTGGTGAAATGTGCTTCGTTTCGCAATTTTCTTGTTTGTTTTGCTGTTTATGGTATCATATTCATGTGCTCCCTAATTCATAGTTTGACTTCGTCGTGTGCGATGTTGATCTATTTCTTTATTTACAAAATACTGCAGGTCCATTTAAGGGCCCCAGCAGGAGGGGCAAAGATCATAACATTGCACACAGGTGTAAAACAGTGAGATGAATGCGTTGTCTTCACTCCTGCAATGTCTCGACTGTGAGACAGCAGTATTTGTAAATAAAATTAATTGGGTGACCTGTTCCATCCTGTTCTGAAGAGATACCTTCGCCTCTGTTTCTGAGATCTTGATATTTATATTCCTACCCACGCGAAATCAAATTGAAGCTTTTAACTATAATAATAAAAAATACTGTGAAATCTTACTCTAATGATGCATTGGTACAGTGCTAATTTGAGATTCCGAACCTAAACGACCAAACAAGCGAGGCTTTCGGGTTCGCAGAGGACGACAGTTGCTCAAAATAGGCTAGTGCATTTTACTAGCGTAATCACATTGAAAACAAAGGCTGCCGATCAAAACACATGAGCCGATTCACTAGTGGACATTATTGAAGAAACTAAATACGTAAGCACGGCATTTTTAACTGCTAGCTATAGCGTCTACATGTTCATTGATTGTAAAGTATTTTTTGTCTCGTTAGTTAGGTAAGATAACTGTTTGTAGTTAGGTATAATCTGCGTTTGTGGGCATTGTTAGTCTCTTGCAATGGAAATGCTGCAGAGCGCGAAAAAAAAAAGTCCGCATTGTCTAGTCTTACGCTGCGCTTTAGATTTTAAACCACAGTGAGCGCATATTAACAATGCAACAAACACAAAGTGAAGCGGGAAGTCTAATACCGCGCAATGCGTGAAGGTGTTATGCTAATCTATGAATTGTGTGATCACGCAGTCGCTCGTTTCGTTCATGTAAACAAACAATCATTTTGTCCCGAAGAAATTTCACCGGTCTCATTGCTTTTTTCGCTTTTATCACCGCGAGTAATAGTCGTCTATTACAAGTTCTCGTCCCACATTACTCAGACTTGCGACAGTCGTCCATTAGAGTGCCTGTCATTTTTCCTTGGCCAGCGGTCCTCTTTGGATCCTTTTTGGCGAGGCTCCAAAAACTTCCTTCCCGTACCGTGTTTCCATTCCGGTGGAAGCTGCTTCTTTCCGTCCCTCTGTAAACTCAACCAAACTTTTTATATCGCTTATAGATATATTTGGTGCTGCCGTATAAAACCGTGCATCTTATATGAAAGATGTAGCAGTCGTCAACTGGACAAAGTGTAACGTTCTTGGGGCTCTGCGTGGCGGAACCGAGTAAGAAGCATGCTTCATGATCAAAAGCACGAGTAGGTTGTTGTTCATCTTGAGAAAAAAAAAAAAAAAAATGAGCGACCACTTTGCGAGGGCGGATAGAAGAAACACGAAGCACGGGCGCTGTGCTTTGTTTTCTTTCTGCCCATCTTCGTAAAGTGTTAGCTGGTTTTGCCTTATGAAAAGTATGGGAGATTCCGGATTGCAATCGACCTCTATTAAAGTGTATCTAAATGCAATCTCAATGGGGATTTTGATCATCGTCATAATCATTTTGTTGTTACATTTTAATAGGTTATTTATTCATCAATTTATTTATTTATTTATTTATTTATTTATTTACTTATTTATTTATCTATTTTGCATTTCGTGCCCATCGAGGCACGGTCTCCGTGGCCGAAAACCGAACTTCCGGGATAAAGCTTAGCTGCGTTACCCCTTAGCCGATAAGATATACCACTGTGGGTACACCGAATCCAATTCATTGATGTATCCAAAAATATACTTAGAGTGAAGGGAAGTCCCTACAACAATCTTTCATGTACGTTTAGTTTTTTAAGACGTATTACAGAACAAAAGCTTTGATGTTGGCCGTTCTCCTGGTCTGCTTTCGAATGTATATACGTGTTTGGTCCTACAAATCACCGAGTTCCCGTTCACTGAAACTTGGCATCATCTTCCTAGGCACTGGCGCTGTGCTGCAGTCGATTACAGACCATCGCACATGATTTGCCGTTGTAGTCAACCAAAACGGGTTAAAATGATTTGCGTCCATACATTGCGCTGAATGACTGCAGCCCATAAAGTTTAACCACGTAATAGTGAAATAATAAAGCACGTTCTTTAGTCGCACGTGGCTTAATTTTTTTTTCGGTGCGTGCGCGGACATTATCTAGAGAGGACGCTGTGAACGTGGTGTCAACAGAAAAGAATCGTCGGCCGCGGTGGAGCAGTGGTTACGGTGTTCCGCTGCCAATCCGAAGGTTGCGGATTCGACCCCGGCCACGGTGGTCACATTTCGATCGAAGAGAAATGCTAGAGAATCACGTATACTGCTTAAAAAAACACCGGGTGGTTGAAGTTTCTGGAGCCGTTCCTCAAGGCGTCTCTCATATATCCTGGTTTTGGGACAGGAAACTCCACATAATATTATTTAGCAAAAAAGAATCGTCGCGATACACAAGCAGAGGAAAATAATTGCTGTCAACCATTTTCCACCCCACTTTCGGTTCCCGATGCTCCAAGTGAAAAATTCTCGCGTGGAAATTTCGCTTACGGCGAAACCACATGATTGTCGAGTCTATATTGCGAATGTGACCGCAGCGAGAGCAAGTTTGCAAGTTGTCAGGTAACGAGAAAATTGATGTCTGTGGTCTCCGCGCCTTCGCGACGTCACATTTCGCGCAAATTAAAAATACCACCATAAATTGAGCACGTCCGCTCATCGTTTCCCGATGCAGCACAGATGTACGCAGCGCCTTTCGTTAAGCTGACGAATTTTCTGCTTGCTGCGCGCTTGTGAATAAAAGCTGGACAGATACAACGCGCCATTAGACAACAGTAAGATAATGACTATAGAAAAAACGCGGAAAATTGGGACAAATAGAAGCAGGCGACGCAGAGGACTTTTCCTTGCATATGACCACAGTGTCTGCGCTAGTTTGTTTACTTTCTTTAATTCTCTGTTGGTTGTGTCAGCCCCGGTTATAAACTGTTCTAGACCACGATTTATACGAACATAAGCGATGCAATATGGAGGCGGAAATGTTGTAGGCCCGTGTGGTCAGATGTGGGTGCACGTTAAAGAAACCCAGGTGGTCAAAATTTCCGGAGCCCTCCACTACGGCGTCTCTCATAATCATATAGTGGTTTTGGGAGATTAAACCCCACATATAAATCAATCAAGCGATGCGATAAGCGATTCCGCTAACTTGCATTTTTCGCAGTTTTTAATCATTGTTGTTCTCTTTATATTTGTCTGAGCCATTTATTTTAAGCAGCGTACAGCGTGTAGGCGGTTCCGACACGCCCACCGATTTTCTCCTCGCAAGGACGCGTGACCGAGGCTTTCGTTCTTGCGATCCACGTACGCGGTACGTGACCTGCGATCTCTCTTCAAGGTTCGAACCCCGATACGGTGCGGGTTTTATAAAGATCGAAGGTTGAGGAGGGGTCGTCGTCGCGACGAGGATGTGCCGCGTGCTTCCGCTTTCCATTTCCCAAATGTTACCACGTTCGTCACCATATAGGCAGCTTGAAGTAAATTATAGATCAGCAGTTATACTCAAAGCCGAACTCGTGTAACCTTTAGCTTTAGTGCACCAGCTGCCACAAAAGCAAAACGCAGCTTATACGCAAACAACGACTGACCGTTGTTCAGGCATGTATGCAATCAAATTAGTGAGATTAGTTACGTAGGTGACTTAACCAGTGTGAATATGGTACGATGCTAGCAGGTTGACGATTATCATTGATTCCAAGGGGAGATAGATACGAGTAAGGTTGACGTCAGATGGGGGATCAGTAGGATATTCATTGAAATTTGGCGACAAAAAAAATCTATAGAGAACCATCTAAAGAAAAAAAAAAACAAAGCTCCCAGAACATATATGTTTCGTGTGCAGAAATCATATGGGACACCTGACTGGTGTTTTCGGGGGGGGGAAGGCACGTTCCAGAATATTCTAATCAAAGAACACATAATTTGGCCCGTACTGCAGATTGTACGACAGTAATTGACCGAAATTGCAGTGCTGTATACCTAAACTGATACTGAAGTAAGTGAAAGGTAAATGCAAGGTCTCTTATGCTTTCGCTTAAGACGACTCGAAGACAAAGCCACTCATTGTGGGTATGCATTTTTATATCACACCAATGTCACATA